GTTTAGGGCTTAGGGGTGTAGGGTTGAAGGTTTATATTGGGTTTAGTTTAGCTTGTAAGGTTTAGCCTTTGAAGTGTGTCCTTGTGAACGAAACCCTAAACCGCTTTAGTGCCAAAGGTCTCAGGCTTACAGCGTAGGGCTTAGCTTAGGGTATGAGGTGTAGGGTCATTGGCTTCAGGTTGCAGTAGGGCTAACCAACTGGGCCCTAAGAAAGTAATACGTAATAGCTCAAAAAACAGCTGAAGTAAAGTCTGCATCCAGAAGTCTAAGACGGTTTAATTAGGGTTAGGGCTAGGTTTGAAATAGGAGGGCTTAGGGTTGCGGGTTTGGGGCGCATTGCGTTTCGTAAGCTTTCACATGAATCTGAACTTAGTTGCAGCAGGATCCAGTATGTGTGTACCCCTAAATCCTCAAACAAACGCCCGAGAGCCAGTGGCCGGAAACTCTACCGTCCCATGCGAAGCGTAGTCGCACCCCAAATTCCAAACCCTGACACAGTAAACTTCAAACCTTACCGTTTAGGGTAATCTTCATGGGGTCTAGGTTCAGTTAGAGGCCATGGAACGTCAGGTCCCCCAAACACCCTCTAAAATTCCCAAATCCCCACCAAAGACCTTAGCCCCGAGCCCTTAACCCCAAACCCTGAAAGATAAACATTGGGCCCCCAACTCCACGAGTGTGTCCACGAAGTGGCGGTTATCCAAAGTCGCAAGCCGTGCCGCGGCATCCTCTTCGCAAAATGATAAGAGGCCTTCAGGGTTTAGAGCTAAGAGGGTTAGGGTTTAGGGCTTGCAGGGTTTAGGGCTAAGGGTGAGAAGATTAGGGCTGAGGTTTGGGGTTTAGGGCCAGGATTCAGTTTGTAAGGTCTAGTTAGGGTTTATGCTTCAGGGTTTGGTTCGGGACGGTCTTGGTCACTCTTTGTAGAGGTTTGGAAATCGTTTTTGAGGTTAAGTGCCAATCTTTTTTCCCAGGGCTCACATCCCTGAGGTAGTCACATGAAGCGCAATCTCAAAGCTCTACATTGAATCTACTGCAATTAAGGGCCTAAACAATTGGTGAATGTAATTTTGAGGTCTATCTGAGGTACCCTACAGTATACCAGAACCACACAAGGAACCTAGGGCCATAATACCGAACCCTAAACCTCAAACCCTAATGTAGTAGCGTTTTTTGGTGGTTAAACCAGTAAGATTATATTCCTTATATAAAATACTATACCCAAAAGGAGGATATAATCTTACTCTATATTGGGTACCATAGTATCCCAAAAAAATACTACTCAATAGAGCACCTTCTGGGGGGAATGAAACATGGAGCCCTTGAATGCTTGAAACCCGATCTCGAGCTTGGACGGGCAATAGACCCTGACCGCATATTGGGTTGACAAAAATGTTGTTGAGGGTTAAGGCTTGCGACAAATGGATTCGGAATTCTACAAAATTAGGGATCCTTTTCGTTGGGTCCCTATTTTAAGGATTCTGTTGTTCTCCGGTCCCCCATCTCTGGAAACTTTCATGTAGCCACACTTTTAAAGGGAAGGTAAGTTTCATAGGTCCCTCTAGGTTTGCGGGATTAACAAACTCATGGTCACCCTAAACCCTAAACCCAAAACCTGGTCCCTTTCTTAGGGAGTCCTGGTATGTCGGGTGCATACCATGGCAACTCTTGCCCAGCCTAAACCGCAAAACGCAGACGTTAGACCTCAAGCTCGAAGCCCTACAAGTAGAACCCTGAACCATCTATATAACCCTATATAATCTCCAGCCCCCGCCCAAGTCCTCGGGAGCCGCAGATTCAGATCTGGCTGCGCAAAATCTGGCACGCCTTCGCGTCTGATCAGAATAGGGTTTAGGGTTTAGGCCCAGAATTATAGCACTCCAGACGAGGGTTTCCCAAACTTAGGGCGTTTAGGGTTTAGGGTTGACGTCTTCGGGTGCCGAGAAAAAAGGCTACAGCATTTGGAGCCTAAGTTTGTGTCCCCCTTTTCATGGAGACCGCCATATCCAACCCATCAGAACATGACACAGGACATTTCTAAAACTGACAGCTTGGACACCCCCAGATAACCCTAAACCCTAAACTCTAAACCCTGAACCCTAAGCCCTAAGCTCTAAACTCGCAGCCCTAAGCCCTAAACCCAAAAGCCCAAAAGTAACCAGGGCTCCCTTGCACTCCTGAGAACCGTAGGCAGCCAGACAAAACCCTAAACCACAAACTCTGAACCCAAACTAAATCCAAATCCTGAACCCTAGACCCAAACCTTCAACCCTAAATAGCACGAAATCCAAATCCTTAACCCTAACATTCGGATTCGTGGAGTCTCGGAGCTCAACCCGATCCTCAAAAAAGTGTAGCCGGGAACCCGCACACCCACGCGAAACACCAAGCCGCAAATCATCATGAGGATAATTAGGGTTAGTATATCTGACCTACTTACAAAGCTCCCCTGACCCTCCAAGTACAAGTTTCCTCAGAACTTCTGCCTTGTTGGGGGGTACCTTAACTTAGCCAACATTACCCTAGGAAGAAAAGAGGATCCTTTTTTCATAAATGTAAGGAATCCCATACCCCAAAAAGTATAAAGGATCCCTAACATTGATCCAGTTAAACCCTAAACCCTAAAGGAGGTAAAGTTGGGTACAACTCTTTCGAAAGACAAGAAATGAAAGCTGCTCCAAATACGTCTCCAGAATCCTTGAGCGGGAGCTCTTAGTTGGTTTAAGGTGTAGGGTTCAGGGTTTAGGGTTTAGGGTTTAGAGTTGGAGTCCTGAAGGACACTCTGAACCCTAAACCCCAAACCCACCCTCTCGATCCAAATCCCCCAAATGCACCCCTTTTCCATTTCCATATCATACCCGGGTTCTCAAGGACTCATACCTGCCTGAGCCTTAGGGGCACTCGCCGTAGTAGGTGGCGCCATGGCATTTTTTGTATTGGGGTTCTATCGGGCTAATGGAAATTCAAACGGAAACTACGATTTAGGGTTTCGGGGTTTTAGGGCTTTAGGGTTTAGGGTTTAGGCGGTTAGGGTTTAAGGTGAATGTTGTTGAAGCATTTTATATTCTATGACCATTTCAAATGTGTATTGGGCTCAGGTATACATGAGCATGTGACATGTTGTTTCATACCAGCCCAAAATTACTGGGTAGATCTGTCGTAATGAGCCCTATCCTTGGGCTTTGGACTGGGGCGCTAATTTAGGATTTAAGAGTTGAGGTGGGTTGAACTTATCACCCATGCCTCTGCACGCTCCTGGCTGCTGAAATGGTAGTTGATGTAAGGAAAGAAGACTGCTGTGCTTCTGGGTGCTCCTGGAGAGTTGGATCTGGGTTGACGCGGTTTAGGGTTTAGGGTTTAGGGTTCATGCTTACGGGTTCTTTGCCTGGACTTTAGGTTGAGAATTTACTTATACCATGTCCCAAACTACGACGGAACGCGAAAACCAAGCTCTACAAAGACCACTGTCCTTTAAGGGAGTCTATAGTGTAGGTCCATATTAATTTGGGTCAGGCTCAGGTTTACTTGGAGGGCCAAGTGGACTCAGTAAGTAGCGCACCAACACCTATGAGCCGTATAGTAACCCCGTTGATCCCCATGATTAACCTACTTACTACCCCTGACCCTCCAAGTAAAGTTTGCTGCTTAGGGGTGGGTTTGAGGGTTTAGGGTTTAGGGTTTTGCGCAGGAAGCTCACTGGACCGGATGAACTCCAAGGGATGAGCTGCTCGTAGACGGGGGCTTCTCAAGAGACAGGGCTCTCAGGCGCACTAGGGATATATGAGCCATTGTCTAAACTCCTAGTATCCCCCCTAGTAACCCTTATAGTAGTCCCCTATATAATCCTCTATATATCCTCCCTTTAAGGAGTTTAGACTATAGCTCATATGATAGATGGGACAACAACAAGAAGATTGTACGGATTTCCCCTTAAGGATTGCAGGGATGTCCTGAGAAACTACCGCAGAAATCGAGAAGCAAGCAGGAACGAGGCTACATTATCGTGCCCTGACCCCCAAAACAAGTCCAATATTTAAGCCATAGTCTAAACTTCTAGTATCCCCCCAACAAACCTATAGTACTCTCCTATATAATACCCGATATAAACCCCTTGAAGGAGTTTAGGGTTTAGGGCTCTGCATCATGTCATGGCAATCCTTCCACCTCCCTAGAGTCCCCAAGAGGTACTTGGAGGGTGAGGGGGCCTTAGCAGGATAGGGTTTAGGGTTTAGGGTTAGGCTTTAGGATTTAGGGTTTAGGGTTTGGGTCGGGGGGACTTTGTAAGCAGGTTAATAATGGGGATAACTAGGGTTACTATATGGGCTGTAGGGGTTATCAATCTACTTACTAAATCCGCCTCAACCTACTTACTATGTCCCCCTCACCCTCCAAGTAGCTTAGCACCACCCTCTATAGCCCCAATGATGGAAGAGTACTTCGGAGATATCAAGTGCCCTTAACCCTAGACCCTAATTTCCTTCATGCACGTTAGCAGGGTCCCCCCGAGCCACCCCTCTCCCCCCTCGTTCTCTGTCTTCAGGCAATTCCTCCTGCATTCCACTTGAAAGGTCAAGGGGAATTAGCAAGTATAGGGTTTAGGGTATAAATCTGAGTCAGCCGCAGAAAAATTAGGCCCCTAATGTCTTAGGCAGATTGTACTCCTAAACCCTAAACCCGTACTACCATATTGACAAAGACCTTGCGAGGACATGCTGCGCCCTTTACGTGCATCCCGGAGTTACCAAAAATGAGGTTTTAGGGCTTAGGAGGTCTTACATGAGCTGCCCACTTTTGAATACACCTTTTTGGGCCTCCCTCTTGGGCCATTCAGAGCAAGCTTTGCTGGCATCTGCACTCTGTGGTTGCCTAGTTCTTTCCAAGGCAACTTGCACCAAGACGGCTGCTCCACAGGCCTCTGTACACTGTACCTCCTGTATATAGGTCGGTGCCGCAGTCAGCGCCAAGGCGAGAAACAAAAACGCGACAGGATGTGACGATCAACTCTAGAAGTCAAAGCAGCTGTCGGCAAAGAACTTGTGGGTCCTGGTCATCTGCTTCTTCATCGACGCCATGTTTGCTTTGGACCTCCCAGTCCCATGCCCAGGGCTCAGCGTCTGCAATTGAATGCCAGTATAAGCCCCCTTAAGTAGATAAAATATGGGGTACATGGGCATCTTATTATAATGTACCCAAAGCCATATGAGCCATAGTCTAAACTCCTTACAAGGGGTTATATAGGGAATTATATAGGGGACTACTATAGGGCTTGTTAAGGGGGATACTAGGAGTTTAGACAGTAGCTCATATTAAGGGGGACTATAGCATCTACGTGATTGGCCCAAGGCTTGGGATTCAAGCACTGGGATTCTTGTCGTTCCAGACGCCTGGTTTGTAGGGAGCCAGGGTATATATTCCGCATATGGTCCCTATATAGCATATGCCTTTATTGCCTACGAAGCCCCCGGTAACTTTAGGGCTTGGGCTTGGGTTCTTGGAGTCTCGCACCTCGCATTCGCTTGGGCGGCCCTCTCTTGGATGGCCCTCCGGAACTTGAATAGCGCTCGCTGCTTCTGCGCCCGCGCCACCTCATTGCCAAAGATTGTAGTTTAAAAGAACTAGCCCTAAACCCGAACCCCATAATCCTGCGCTAGACACTGCTCTAAGCAAGATTCCTAGGGGTGCCTCAAAAGCACAAACCGCTAAAGAAGGATTCTTCCAATTGGGATTGCCAGGGCAGCTAGATTCAAAGTTTAGGGTTGGGGGTTTAGATTGGGTTTAAGCTTTAGGGTTGGGGGTTTAGGGTTGAGGGTTTAGGCATGGGACTTACATACCTGGGCTTTCTGCACCACGAGTACAATCCAAGTCTTAAATCCTGAGCCCTCAGCCCTAAACTCTGGACCCCAAATCAGACTCCCCCAGCTGTAAATACCAGAAACAAAAAATAAACCCTGAGCCCTAAAATCCAAGCCCTTTCCGGCCTCCAAACCATAAACCCCAAATCCCAAACCCTTCACCCTAAACCCCACGCCCTTGCTGGCCTCCCTAAACCCTAAACCGTAAAACCTAAATACCTAAAACCCTAAACCCCTTGCCCTTTCAGGCCTCCCTAAACCCCAAACCTTAAGCCCTAAACCCCAATACCTAAAACCCTAAACCTTAAATCCAAAACCCTAAATACCTAAAGCCCTAAACCCCAAACCTTAAACCCTAAACCCCAAAGACCTAAAACCCTAAATCCCGGGCCCTTTCATGCCTCCCTAAACCCCAAACCTTAAACCCTAAACCCTAAATACTTAAAACCCAAAACCCTAAACCTTAAACCCTAAACCCCACAGACCTAAAACCTTAAACCTTAAACCCTAAACCCTAAATACTATGGTAGTTTCCATTTTCTTGTCCATTATCCTTATATAACACCTATGTGAACCCCAAACCGCAAGCCCTTTCTGGCCTCCAGGACTTGCGCCCTCTTGGCCACTGCGAACTTGGCACCTCGGCGTGCCGCTTCTCTACGATCATCCTGCGTGGGCTGGGGATCTTCTTGTGGGGGTTTAGGGTTTAGGGATTAACGTTTAGGGTTTAAGGTTTAGGGTTTAGGGCTTGATCATCCTGAGCGGGCTGGTGATTTTCCTATGCAAGGATACTTGAGGGAGCAGCTTTTAAAGGGATTTTAGGGTTACATAAGGTTAGGGGTTAGGGTTTAGGGTTGCCTGAAATTAGGGGTACCTTTTTGGGGAGGTCCCCAGAATAAGGATTGTTGTATTTTGGGGTCTATATCGGGGTCCTTTTATGTGGGAAACTACCGAGTAGAGGTTTTTGATGTAAGATTTAGGGTTTAGGGGCCTACAGCAATACCCACAAACCTTACTTGACAAAATGCCTATACTTTGCATGAGCACATTGCGTGCAAGCAAAGGCTTCAGTTCAGCAGCGCGCCAACAACTGCTGACCCAAAGACAAGATCCTATATAGTAGTTGCCAGTTTCTTTTCCATTATCCTTATATAACCCAGATATATACCCTATACCCTATATAGTAGATTCCATTTTCTTTTCCAGTCAGAATGGAGCCCTGATTTTGTGAGCTCCTGTCCTTGGTGAGCAGGATGTTGCTGTCGTTGCTGCAGGGCCGAATCTTGAAACCCTTCCGGCCAAGGAATGCATGGAGCGCCCGTAGAGTCGGCAGCGATGCTGGCATGGCAGATGCTGGCATGGCAGAGGCATGACATGGTGCAGGGAGGCTATCAATCTTCAGCATGTGGCGGACCTTGTTGAAGAACACACTGCGTGGAACGTGAGACTTCAGCTGAGAAAGAGCATCGTGAAGCTGTTGCTCCCCAAAGTTAGTCTCCGCTGCCTCCACTGCTAGCAAGCTGTAGCCACGCACGTCGAGCCAGAAGCGGAAGAGGCCGGCAACCAGCTGTTGACAAAGGCGGTCATGCAGCGCCTGCCTCAGCTGCTGGATCCTTCGGCCCTCCTTGCCAATAAGTGCCGCCTCAGCAGCGCGGCACGGCAGCTCCGCCAGCTGAGCTGTAACAACCCTCCGGGCACTCCGCTGCTTCTTGGGCGAAACAGGCGCATGCTTCTCCACAGCCTGTCCTGGCTGAACATCTGAGGCCTCTTCGACAACAAAGGGGTGCGCTGTTTGCTCTGGGCCAGCCATAAGCGCCTTCGCCTCAGCAGCGTCCTGGATGACCCGCACCTTGGCACAGAGTGGGTTCTTCAGTGCCTGGAGAAGGGCTGCCAGCGGGTCACGCCCAGACTCCATGACGATCTTCAGCATGCGGGACGAGAAGCCAGATATCAGCACGACGCCTGCATTCGTGGCTAATGCCGGCGCACCAGAAGCTGCCCTCAGATTCCAGAAAACCAGCTCGGGCATAGTCCGGCCTGCGCTGGCATAATTCGCCTGGATCTGCTGCAAGACAGTGGTGTTGCCGCCGGCATGCCGAAATTGCATGTCAGAGAACACGAGGATCTTCCTGGGCAATGCCTCTTTGTGCAACAGCAGCTCGAAGACTTTGTGGAAGTTGGTCCTCCCACCCCACTTCAACCGCCTCACAAACTTTGCCAGCTTGGCGAGGTCCGATGTGTCCGGCAATGTCACCATGGATGGCTGTTCATGGAAAGTAATGATCTGACGGGCCAGGGATCCGGAAGCAAGCTCCGCAACCAACAGGGACATAGCAATGGCCACATCCATGCAGCTCACGCCAGGAGCAGCTTCGCAAGACATGGAGCCGGATACGTCGCAAACAGCAATACAGTCGTGTAGCTCACCAGCTTTACGGATGCGCTCCACCATGGCGAGCCACTGTCCCTGTGCTAAAGCCTTCTCAGACTCCGTACCGAGGCCTGACGCTCGCTTCAGGATCTCATGTGGCTGCAGAGCACCAGTGTTCACCCGAACTTTGCAACACTTGACCTTGTCCATGAACTCGCGGAAGCGGGCAGCGTCGTGCTTCTCAAAGCTCTTGGCATGCTTTGTGAGGCAAAACGCGGGCAGCTCCTTGTAGCAGATCTCTGCCCAGCGCTGTTGGCACATCAGCCGCTCCGGCAGCTTCATGTACTCACCCAGCTGAGAGAGCTGCTTCCGCAGATCGTCTCGGGCCCTATAGGCATACTGCCGCTCAGTGCAGCCCGCAAACTGCGGCAAGTTTGCAGGAAAGAGCCAGCGGGCGATGCTTTCACAAATCAGGGTCCGGCGATCGAAGGAATGGTAGAGCAGCGGACACCATTTTGCACAGAGGCTGAGCCGCTGACCTGGATGGGTAATGCACGCCGCTCTTAGCCTCCCTTGTTTTCTTGTTTCTTGACTGATGAGTGTTGCTTGGGTACTGCCCCCACCCAGGAACAGTCTATAACAGGAGTATATAATATTATTGAGGGTTACATGTAATAATGTTGTAATCCAAGTATTCCTGGGCAGGGGGCAGTAGTTACCCAAAGTATTGCTGGTAGCGACAATTGTGATAAAATCATAACAGCAAGCGCAACCGCAGTAATCCCTAAACCCTAAACCCTACAATGATCGCATCCACTCAGATGGCACCATTGTACAGCTTAGGAACGACTTTAGGGTTTAGGGTTTAAGGTTTCGGGTTTAGGGTTTAGGGATTAGGGTTTCGGGTTTAGGGTGTAGGGTTTAGGGTTTAGGGTAATGACTAGGGCAGAGGGGGATCACTACTACAGGAGAGGTTCTGTACGGATGACAGTTGATGCAAGACTTCCTTGGCTACCACCACTGCTGTAATGCTGCAACAACGATACTCATAACAACATTACTAATATGATAGGTGCAACGATAACCTTGAGAGTTATGATTTCAATTTTTGTCAGCAATGCACCCGAAATCGGTTGCTAATGTCCGTCGCGTAGGGGTGCCCATGTGAGGTATGTACCGGACTCTCTATGATCTTTATCATAAGGACCCCCAGAGACAGGTACCGCTAACTGTGCAAATCCTACACCCAACCCTAATCCCTAAACCCTAAACCCGAAACCTTAAACCCTAAACCCTAATCCCTAAACCCTAAACCCTAATCCTGATCCCTTCACCCGCCTCGCTGCATGGCCACTAGATCCAAGCGAAGCTGCTCGGCGAAGAGCCGACCGATACGCTCGAAGAGCGCTCGGTAAACCGGGTCCCTGTCATAGCGCTTCCTTGGGATGTAGGGCGCTTCCAACAAAAGACGTTCCCCTTATAGACAACAAAATACTATAATCCTTATTTCTTGGACCCCAAAATAAGCCCTCATAGACGCCCAAATACCAGAATCCTTGTTTCTTGGACCCCAAAGCAAGGATCCTTGAATTCAGGAAACCCCTAGGGAAGAGTTCAAGGCGTGGCTTTTGAGGGGATTCCAGGGGTTGAGCTTTTGGCAGTCTTTGCTTGAAGATTTCGTAGGGGTAGAGCTCGCCGGGCCCATGACGGCCTTTCCGCTTTGCGAGGGGTGGGGAGTACAAGGGTACTCCCGAGCCACAAGGCTACAGCACCTCCCATCCTTGCCGGCCATCACCGGCCCTTGCCCACCCGCTATGCTGAAGTGGCACTCACTGACAGTCGTCTCGTTGATCTGCCACTCTCTTGTCCCTTCACCCGTGGATCTGGTCAGCCCTCTCGCGTGTCATCGACGTCCTTGTTCAGCTTGGTGTGGCCTGCGCACGGGGCCGACCAAGCGCAATGCTTCCCAGCGGAGTTGCTGGCTGCTCTCTCCGACTTTGATCGTGACTTGAGCTTCGTGACATGTTCTGAAGCCTCGCAGGCTTGGACATACACCGCTCCTCGACAGCATAGGCACAAGCTTCGCCTGCTGCTACAATCGCCATCACTGGTGAGGGTTTTCCTGAATATTGGTGCGCCCTTCGAGATTTTTCAGAAATTGTAAGAGGTTTCAAGGACTGTTGCAACCTTTTTTGGGAAACCCTCCGAATCTTGCCCCATTAGCAATCCCTCCCCCCAAGCCTTGAACCTATAAGAAAGCACCCGAAACCTGAAACTCTAAACCTCAACTCCGAAACCCTCAACCATAACCTCAAGACCCTAACACTCACATCCCGAATCCTGAACCACAAGCGCTCTAAAGGAAGGGCCTTCGGGAAGCCAAGCGTCAGCGCTTCCGCTGCCAACTCGAGCCGAGAACCTGTCTGATGGTTCGGGACTCAGGATTAGGGGTTCGGGTTTAGGGCTGAAGGTTCATGGCTTAGGGCTTATATAGGGTTGGTTTAAGGCTTAGGGTTTGGGGTTTGGGGTTCGGGGTTCGGAAGCCTGGGCGATAGTTCCCATCCTCCTGAAAACCGGCATCCGCCAGGCGGTACCTGGGGTCAAGACAGATTAGGCAGGGTGCAAAGTGCATATGTCTTCGTCACCCCAGCCCTCGAAATGTTCAACCGATAACTGCAACAGAGTCTTGATTTTGGGGGGCCCAAAACCCAAAACCCCAAAACCCAAAACCCTAAAACCCAAAACCCTAAAACCCAAAACCCTAAACCCCTAAACCCTACACCCTAAACCCTGGTTGGGGTTGCCAAAGTCCTCTACGTATGGGATTTGGAGCTCAGGGCGCAAGCACTGCATGCAAGAAGCCCCCCACCATCTTAAGTACCTTTAAGGTTTAAGGGTTTAGCGTTTAGGGTTTAGGGTATAGGGTTTAGGCTTTAGGGTTTAGGGTTTAAGGTTTAGGGTTTAGGGTTTAGGGCCTTCGGTTAGCTGGGAATGAAGGGATGGAAAAGGATAATGGAAACTACTATAATGGGTTATGAGGGGACTACTATAAGGATCCATTCCTTCATTCCTAGCTAACCAAGTGCCAGTTAATCCTTGCTGTCTTTAGGACCCCCTAAAAGTTAAACGTTTAGAACGTAGGAAACCCGAAAAGTTAAAGTCCTAACAACCAGGCAGAAGACAGCCCAGAATTGCCGGGGCTTTCCAAGGTTTAGGGCTTTCGGGCTTGAAGTCTGTGTTGACGTCAACTTAGCGGCAGATAGATAATGTACATCGTTTTCAAGAGTATATGTCAGAATCTATTCGAAAATCAGAAACTAATGTCCGCCCTCAGCACTGCAAGAGCTCATAGACTTCTCTTTCAGAACTATGTAGTACTGACGGAAGTCTACTCTAGGCCCTAAAACCCTCTGGCATTTAGGGAAACGACTTCGAAGTACCTAGAATCGTGTAGCATACGCGCTGTCCCACAGCTGCTTGCAGCCGCAGAGCTTGCAGTCCTCTGGTGCATCCTGCAGCGCTTGTTTTTGTATCACTATGAACACCAAGACCTTGATTTTGGATTTTGCTATGCATTGACCGCACATGCAAGGGTTCCGTTGAGAAATGGTTTATAAGGGTGATTTTACACAGACCCCTCCAATAATAGCTCAACATGATCCCCTCCTGCACATATACCCGTCACACTTGTAGCGCTGCGCTTCTTGTTGCCCATCTGGTGCTCTCACTACTGGGGCTGTGCACTGAGAAACACGCTCTAGTTCTTCGGACCCCATATCCCTTAATCTCGCTGCCCGGCACCGTCTTTCCTTCCACCTACACCCTGCAACCGCTTTCTCTTCCATGTGGTTCTACGTTGTTGAAATAATAACCCTATGAACTTCACCCAATATGAGCTATTGTCTAAATTCCTAGTATCCCCTTGAAGAACCCCTATAATGCTCCCCTTTCTAATCCCCTATATAACCTCCTTTAAGAAGTTTAGACTACAGCTCAAACAAGGTTTTTGGGCTTCGCGTCAGGCTTGTTGTAGCAGCCCTAGTTCTTCTACCACAGGTCCACTTTTTCATGCCCTGAATGGGCTTGTCCAATGGCACACTATCTAAACCCTAAACCCTAGTAGTTTCCATTTTCTTTTCCATTCTCCAAAAGAACCCCAATATATTCCCTATAATCCCTATATACACCCTGTATAACCCGTATAACCCCTATAGTTTCCGTTTTCTTTTCCAGTATAACATGCACCCCTAAACCCTAAACCCTAATCCCTAAACCCTAAACCCGTCCTGGCAGCGCTTGTAATGGCTGTAGAGAGCCCAGTCCCGCTGAAGGCTCCGAGCTGGACCTTCGCAAATGCGTGCAAGCACCTTTTGGCAGGGTTTCCGGTTTAGGGGTTTGGGGTTTGGGGGTTTAGGGGTTTAGGGGGGTTTAGGGGGGTTTAGGGGGGTTTAGGGGAGTTTAGGGGGGTTCAGGGTTTAGGGTTGAGGGATTCTCCCCTAAACCCTACACCCCAAAATAGGGAGAATGTAGGAAGTTCCGAAGGACCCCTCAATTCTAAACCCTCAACCCTTATGCCATGCAATGCCTGGGCGCCTCCAGAAGGCCCTTCCAGTAGTTGCACTCCGGCACCAAATGCAGATTGGCCAAGAGCGTGGCTGCGTCCTGGTAGCTTAAGGTTTCTTAGCCCTCATTACTCTTGGAAAAAACCCTTTCTACACAAGTATAAGGAATCCCATACACCAAAAACTATATAGGATCCCTAACATGGATCCAGGTTTAGGGCTAAGGGTTAAGGGTTTAGGGGTTTAGAGTTTAGGCTTTTAAGGCTTAGGGCTTTAGGGTTTTGAGGTGGAAACACCACTCGGCTTCTACCAACCTTAGGTTTGAACCACAAATCCTAAATCATAAACCCTAAACCCAAACCCTATATAGGGGTTACCTTAGGGTTATAAGGGGTTATATGGAGATAATGGAAAATGGAAACTCCTATTTAGGGTTTAGGGTTACAGTCAAGCCTTAAGTAGATAGAATATGAGGCATGTGTGCATCTTATTATAATGTGCCCAAGGCCGTATCCTAGCTACTTAAGGGGGACTATAGTCCCTAAACCCCCAAGCTTCTTCCTTCTTTCCTCCCTTGTTGACAACCGACTGTTGATACGAAAAATCCTGCATGACCCTAATACACTGTAGTACCAAAATTCCCAAGGTATAAGATACCTAGGGTCATGCAGGATTCTTAGTATCCACCGTAGTTTCACCATTTGTTCAATTTCCCAAATTCTGCGCCCTGCTTGCTTTGCTTCTGTCAGTTGCCTTGCACAGCACTGGTTTTCTGGGTCCTGAGCGGGGCATCCTCGAAAATTCTCACTCCGTGTTCCTTCTGGGGTTTAGTAGAGAGCAAAGCTTAAGGAAAGAAGCATATCCAACAAAATCTGGTATGGCTTAATGAACCCAAAAACCTCTACACCTTTAGAGAAAACCATATGAGCCCCCAGTTTCCATTTCGTTTTCCACAGGAGGCATTCCTATACTCTAAACCCTCAACCCTGAGCCCTAAACCCCTAAACCCTGACCCCCAAACCCGAATCCCGAAGCCCTAAACCTTGATGCCTAAACCCTAAAGCCGAATGCCCAAACCCTAATATGAGCCACCTCCACAATCCCCATGGGTTCCTTATTAAGGAATATAGTAGGCACTACACTAAACCAATAAAGGGACCCCTATGTCCACCCTTAATGGTCCCTTGGTAAGGCAAATACAGAAAGTAGCTCATATGGAAGTATCATGGGGAGGTTCCTGAGTGGATACACCCTAAACCCTCAGCCCTAGCCCCTAAACCTTAAGCCCTGAAGGTTATGATAACTCTCTGGCGGACGTCGCCTCAAAAGGATGGGTCTTGGCTGCACGCGTGACCCCTTAGTTTGGGAAACTACCAAGTTTCAGAGATCCTCGAAGATTGTTTGCAAGAGCTGTGACTCTGGCTCAAGTACTGGCTGTTCTTTTAGTAGCCCTGTTGAGTGCACGGGCTTCCCCATTGGGGATGTTGCAGGGCTCTCAGAAACCTGAAAGGAGCTTTCAGGAGAAATGGCACTTCAAGTAAACAAAGTACTCAGCATACCCCAAACCCATAGCCCTGAACCTTAAGGGGCCCCCAAAAGTAGAATACCAGAGTTTGGCATACCCCATAACTTCTTGTGGGGGTTTCTCTGACTACGCCTATTTCTAGGCCTTGTGCCGCTTTATAATAAGGATCCAAAAAGGGACCATAATTTTGACAACCACCCATATGGATTTAGGGTTTAAGGATTCTAGGATACGGCGGGGTCCGTGTTGAACCCCGAGTTCCAGACCGCGCTAAGCAAAATCAACCTATACATGTTATTAGAAACCCTACAGGCCAGACAATAGCCGCAGCGATCACCAGCATGAACCTACTTTAGAAAAAAGGTGTCTACCTGACCCTAAACCCTCAACCCTA